AATTTGTGGTTTCTTTATCTTATAAATACGAAATGAATCTCTAATGCCTTTCTTTTGTTGCTTTGGTATGGTGGGAGTGAAGACAAGGGGAAAGAATGAAAATTGTGCTGGAGTGAGCTAGGGAGACCAGCATTTGGGCAGCATCTATGCTTTTACTGTAATAGATGGCAAGATCTCTTCAGCCTTTTAGAAAAGAAAAAGAATTAACTGTAGCCTAGTTTTCATTCTGTACTGCTCATGTGCAAGCATCTTTGAGGAGTATACTTGCTTGTAATATAATTAGTAAATGTTTATCTTATAAATACGAAATGAATCTCTAATGCCCTTCTTTTGTTGCTTTGGTATGGTGGGAGTGAAGACAAGGGGAAAGAATGAAAATTGTGCTGGAGTGAGCTAGGGAGACCAGCATTTGGGCAGCATCTATGCTTTTACTGTAATAGATGGCAAGATCTCTTCAGCCTTTTAGAAAAGAGAATTAACTGTAGCCTAGTTTTCATTCTGTACTGCTCATGTGCAAGCATCTTTGAGGAGTATACTTGCTTGCTTGTAATATAATCAGTAAATGTGGAATGGGAGTTGTGTTTTGTGTTTGGATAGAAGTTTTTCCTTTACATTTTACTTCCTTATAGCATTTAAAACCATGGTTGCTCTAGTTGCTTAGGGGGAGTAGTGCCCTCCATCCTTCTCCTTCCCCTTAGCTTCCTTGTGATTTCTTACTGCAGATGAAGAAGTTTCCCCCTGCCCCCATACTGGATGTGGTGCATAGAGCTCTTTCAGGAGTCTGTACTGAATGTATTGAAAACAGACATTTATTAGAACTGCTTGTTACTTCCCCAAAACTGCCTTTCCTAATTTTCTTTTCACAAATTTTTGTGGAGCGTGTTTGTGATCTCTGCAGAAAAAAATACTGTGTGGAAGTAGATCAGGAGAGGAAAAAATTGATAGTGAAAACCAGCTTCCTATAGATGCTGGATTTAAACATGGAATACTAGTGCCATGTTCTTCCTCCTTTCCACTGCAAAAACACAAAATTGTTGGCACATGAAGGGTGGAGATGCCCAACTCAGATAGTTGAAGTTCTGAAGACCTTTATGCAGTTCACTTTTTTTTTTCCTGATGACTGAATAATCCCCATTAGAGTAGTGTTTTCACTGTATAACCTGATTTGAGTTCTGTGCTTTGTTGGTCATAACAAAGGGAGGGTGGTCGTGAGTCTCCTTAAACCTGATAAGGATTGCAAGGCTGAGAACCTCTGCATTAGACCTCTCATAAACAAAGTTGAAACCCCCACGAGGCAGCTGTTGGCGAGCTTGCCATTTCTTTAAACCATGTCTGTTTAATGGGTTTGTGTATGTTTGGAGGGACTTAAAAGCCTTTTTCCCAGAGAGAGGCCAAATGAGACCCAGAGGCAAATCCCTAGCTTTCTGAAATCCTTGGGAACTGGTTCCAGTGTAGTCATTATAATCCAGCAATTAGCAAGCTAAACAGAAAAAAACTTAAAACCTGGCTTGAATTTTGATGTGAGCCCCTCTGAAGCTCAGAATTACGAGTAGGAAGCATGCAGTCACTTGGAGTTTAAGCTTTGCTCTTCCCAAAACATGCCTCACCAATAAATCTAATTATTATTGCCTTGCAGTGAATCTCACAAACAATACACTTGGCTGCCTGGTCCACCCACACTAAGTGAAAGAATATGTACATTTTAATTATCAGATTATTTCAATGTTACAAAAATGCTGTTTCGTATTAAATATTTTTACAGAGCAATGACATCTGCATTCAATACTGAGTGGATCATATTTGTTCCCTGTCTATTAATGTGTGTAATTAATATATAACATCAAGGTGTTTTAAAGATGCCAAGCCAGTCTCCCCTAATTAAGGTCAATGTGGGAGTGGAATATTCTTTCTCCTGTCATTCTTTGGCTAACATTTTCATCATCTGTACATAATTTCTGCTGAGTAAAGTTTTTAAAGGTGAAATTATATAGATTTCTGGATTTTTTAGAATGCAGCTGGGGAGAAAGGCTTCATGTCGCCCTGTTTCAAAACCACTTCTGCTGCATATGTTTAACTGCAAATTTTGTAGACTTCTTTAAAGTGACATCCCTTCGTAAATGTTGTAGAAGCAGTGTGGAGACTGTGGTTCTTGCTCTGTAAAACCACGTTCAGAAGCTCTTGAGTGCATGTGATAAAGTGATTCCACAGGAGTTGTTTGGGTGGAGTCACAGGTTGGGACTTTCTGCTTTGCAGAATTCAGTAGTTACTGTTTTGCAGTTGCCTCCTGAACAAACACAGGACAGATGTGAGAAATGTTCTATGGTTTGAGGCTGTTGGAGGCTGCAGGATTGGCTTGTCCAGAAGATTGGCCTGACTTGATGGACAGGCTGCAGATGGGAAGGAGGAGACTTCAAGATGAACTGTCAAAGAGCAGGATTGCATCATTTGTCTTCTGGTGTAGACCCTGGAAGGTCCTACAGCTGTGGCCCAAATTAGGATGGGCCTCTCACTGCTCTGGTTTGTCCTAGCACTGCCTGTGGTTGCAGGATTGGCTTGTCCAGAAGACTGGCCTGACTTGATGGACAGGCTGCAGATGGGAAGGAGGAGACTTCAAGATGAACTGTCAAAGAGCAGGATTGCATCATTTGTCTTCTGGTGTAGACCCTGGAAGGTCCTACAGCTGTAGGACCTCTTACTGCTCTGGTTTGGCCTGTGGTGTCCTGCAGGGCAGCTGTCACCAGCTCCTAGGAGCCTCTTGCTTTCCCTGCACCATGCTGCTGGTGGGGAGCTGAGAAAGCACCACCAGGTTCAGAGGCTCAGTTTGTATCTGTTTCTGAAAGTGTTGGCACTGGACACTGTGCAGTCTTCTATGTACCTGGTCTTTTCAGTTCACTTTGGCATGTTGAGGTGACAGAAGCTGGGGGTAAGTTCAGCTGCAGATATACTGACCAGCAAGGTGCCTGTTGTTCTGCTCTACTCTTCAGGTTTCTTGTGTCTGGGAACACTTGTGGGCCTGGTATATGGGCAGGAGGGCAGGAAAATGATGTGCCAAGCTGGGACCCTTATGGAGTTATGCTTACCTTTCCAACACGTCCAGCAATACTGGGATATACTTACTGGGAAAGAGGAAGAAGATGTTGTTAAAACCTGAGACAGTACTTGTTCTCAACAAATGGGTGTTAGAGAGGCTCATTCTGAGGGATGCTAGTCACCCCCTGACAGCAGAGCGTAGTGATGTTTTTCTTGTACCTCAGGGCTGAATTACCCAAGTTTTTGTTTCTGAGAGGGATGAGTTAACAGTTTTAAGCTCTAGGACAAAGTTTATTGATTCTCATCTTTGCTCTAAGATAAGCTTCCATCTGGCCTTAGGCAAATTGTGCGTTTGGAATTGTAAAATGGTAAGTATTTCCTTACTTTTATTGATGGTGCTTAGTGCATTAGGTGGGTGAGAGCAGCCTGGAGAACACAGGGCACACTTTCTCTTCTTCAGGCCATGCAGCAGGTACCTGAGCTTTTCAGGCAGAAGAGCTTACTCTCTGCTGCTGTAGGGCTTCTGTCCTGGGTTACAAACCCCATCTTTGCATAGCATGGGCAGGGCATCTGTGCATCTGTTTCTCCTTTGTACCGGGCTGCCTTCCAAGTAAATTCTTGTCCAGGCTTTTGAATCCCGTAGCAAGAAGAGGACCTTCAGTTCTGTGGAGAAAGGAGGTGGCCCCGCTTTGGTGTGGTGAGGGAGGGTGGAGGGCAAGTGCTGATGGCCAGGGGGAACGTGGAGCTGCTGTGCTGTGGGGCTGCAGGGGACTGGAGCAGACATCACACCCTGTGCTGGTCAGAGCTCTGGTGGCGAGAGCTGATGGGGGTCAGGGTTGGGAGCAGTTGCCCAGGACCTCATAGGAATAGCAGTTTGACTCTGCAAGCTTCTGTTGCTGCTCTCCTGTAGTGTGGAAAGGCCATGACTATTTAATGTGCTTCTGAGAGGGAACACTTAAGTGAGAGAGGCCTCTGTGTGTCTTGGGACTGTGTGGGAGAGTTAGGGAGAAATGAGGCATGTTAAGGAGAAATTCTGTGAGCAGAAAAATTCCCATTGAGCTCAAGAATGAGAGAATTTGGGGGGATCAGAGGTCAGTAGTGAGACTGGTTGGAAACGTGAAGCTGGTTCTGGTAGGGTGGGCTGAGAAACTGTCAGGGCAGCCTCCTCATTGGCTGACCAGACCTTCTCACCAGCATGTCACACCACAGCTTTCTTCACTCTACTTTAAACCTTCTGAAATGTGGCAGCCACGAATGTGCTGTGAAAAGCAACATTTGTAGATCACATTGCATCAGAAGGGCTATGTTAACTGCTGATCTTAATACACATCATTTGTTAATGGTAACCTATCACCAGAAAGATGGAAGAGTTGCATGGGCTTTCTTTCTACCACATGCTACTCAGACCATCCAAGGAACAGCGTATTGCTCTGCAGTTGATTGCTCCATCCTTTGTATGGTGGGATCCTAGCTGTATTCTTGTAATTTCTGGAGCTGAAGAAGACACAAAGCAATGTAAAGAGCAGATTACTTTATCTGTACAAACGTTTCTCTGAGTAGAGCTGGCCTAAAACGTTAACTGACTGGAGGATGAGTTCATTGTGACCTTTCTCACTTATGGGAAGATAGTTGTGTGCAAGAAAAACTGTAGCAGAATTCTTGTGAAATGGGAGGGCAGAGTTAAATAAGCAGAGCATTAACAGCTGAGGAGAACTGTGCCTTGTAAAGTGCAGAGGGAGAGCTGGGTCCTTGGCATGTCTCCTCTGAGCGTGGGAAGAGTGTGTGTTCATGTGCACACGCGTGTGTCTGCCTGTGGAGGTGGCAATAAACTTGCTAACTTGTTGCTGACATGATTCTTTACTTCATAGCACTTCTTTGTACATTTCACTGAAGTACCTTGCTTGGACTCTGAAACAGCATTGTCTAATCAGCCTTTTTTATTTCCTCCTCCTCTCCCCCTCCTCCTCCAGTCAGCATATGCTGTGTCAGTGCTCAGAGAGTGTGCGAAACTGCGACCCACGGATCCCACCGTTCCCCTCCTGGCTGCCAAGGTCTGCATTGGGTCACTCCACTGGGTAAGTGAGCTGATGCAATTCTTATTATGTAATGCATCCAGGTGCTGCAGTGACAGTGCCACAGTGTAGTTGCAGCAGGGAGAAAGGGAAATCCTGCTAAGAATCATGCACGTGTGCATGCCTTTAAAATAAAATTGAAAATCCCAGCCACAAATTTTGTGGTGAGTCACTGAAATGTGTTTTGCTGGCACATTTAAAAAAAAAAAAAGGAAAGGAGAAAGCCATAACAGCCATTCTGCAGACTGCTTCTTCAGCTGGGTGTTGGGTTGGATCAGCCACTCTTGTAGCCCCTGGAAGACAAAAGTTTGTAATTACAGGTGGACTGTTAAACAGCTCAGGTCTGCTGGACAGCTTGGTCCTTTGTTCTTGTCCTGTGTTTCCTGTTCTGAATGTGTTAATGTATGCCCCAGAAGCAGAGTGGGAGTGGAAGTCTGTGCCTGTGAAATTCTGATGATCCCAAGGAGCAGAAACATCTGTCAGTCTTTTGCTGCTTCGTTTAATTAATTGAATGGCAGCCTGCTGTTTTCACCTGTCCTCACCACGAGGTGTCCCTGCAGTCAGTGAAGGATTATAATTGCTAATACAAGTCAAGCAAAGACGCAAGAAGACATGAAAGAAACTACCAGAAGAATCTGCCCAGATTTTGGTGAAAAGCTATAGGGGCTAGATTTGCTGTTGTTGTGCCCCCCAGCCTCCCCATCCTTTACATCCCTAGCTGGTGAAAGTTGGTATTTAGCTAAACTGAATTGAGGTGGATCAGTTTGTACCACCGTCAGCAAGGGGATTTCATTGTGATGTTTTTGAGTGAACTAGACTGCTCAGAGTCTAACAGTTAAACTTACATGTGAGTCAGCACAAACTAGGAATTATGTTGTTCTAGGCAGTTTTTTTCAGGTCTGAGGGCCTTGAGGGAATCCTTGCTGACTACCCAACCTACCTCTGCTCTCTATATAGAGCAATTTAACTCTTTTATACTCTTAGCTCGGTATCTAAGTTTTGAGAGCTGTAAGTCATTCAGTGACACAAAATAACATTCACAGTGAATGCTATTTTTTCAGTATTTTTTTTTCTGATTCTTAAAGATGTTAGAACAACATGAAAGCCAGACATTACAGCTGTGTTGAACACTTTCACTATTATCTCTGACAAAGTCTTTAAAGCAAGATCAGCTTGTCATTAGTCTAAACCATCAGCAAGTCTGTGGATGTTTTTACTCTGTAGGCTCTGAAGCTAGAGGAACCTCTTGGGTTAAATTCTTGCATTCACCTGGAGCTATCAGACATTACAGCTGTGTTGAACACTTTCACTATTATCTCTGACAAAGTCTTTAAAACAAGATCAGCTTGTCATTAGTCTAAACCATCAGCAAGTCTATGGATGTTTTTACTCTGTAGGCTCTGAAGCTAGGGTTAAATTCTTGCATTCACTTGGAGCTATAGTGAGGGACTGCAGGACTCTTAAGAGGTTCCCCTGGCAATTCTCCTGTCTCAGTGATTGCCAAGAGGCAAAAAAAAATTAAAACCCAGCAGAAGAGTCATGTTAAATCTAAGGAAAATCCTTCTCTGATATCAGGCTAGTTTTGCATAGGAGACTGAATTTTAGCATAGGAGACAAATTTGGGATCTCCACATTGCAGATAGGTCTTTTACTCTTTTGCCTTCCTGCTCTGTGAACATGAATCCAACAAGGGTGAGGCACTGGAGCCATGAGGCCAGTAAGGGAAGACATACTGAAACATCTGACACTGACAAACAAGAAAGAACAATTGGAAATGTGGAGTTTTGGGGTAGCCTCGACTGCACTGACTGAGAGGTGGTGAAGTTCAAGATCTTCAGGAGAGAAGACAACAAGGCAAATAGCAGAGAATGGTCCATTCAGACATGCTTTGACTGACTTTGACCACTTTTAAACACAAGTTCTGACTGCAGGAAGGCCGTGGTCTCTTGATACTTGCTGAACATGTGATCTCTGCCTTAACTAGCCTTTGGACAAAATTGAAATGCAGTGATTGCATCTTGTGAGACTCCATGCTGAAGCCAGGATCCCTGCAATGTTCTCAGGTTCCACAGGAGCAGTGAAGTTTTAATGGAGGCACTCTACCAAATGCTGGGTCATTGTGTGTTGAGGTGAAAGGACATAGTTTATGTACTATGAGAAAAGAACTGGCACAGATTCTTTTGTATGTTACTCTGCTATTTATGCAGCTCTCACCATTGAGGAGAGATTTCTAATAAAATAAATAAATTTCTAATGGTACTGTTAAAGACTGACTGTGGGATGAGGAGTTAAATGTGAAATTATGACCCCAAATTGAAGATGCTGCCTTGTCCAGAAGTGGGCAGAGTCAGGATTTGTCCTTCTGGTTGGTACTTGTGCACAAAATCTCTTTGGATCTTCTAGCTCAGCTAGCATATAAAAATACCTTGTTATAGTGACACTTAGGAAAGATGATGAGACTGTAATTCAGTTCCAACTCTGTCCTCAGGCAGTCCAGTATCTCCAGACTTACAGCAGAGCTGAAAAAGCAACAGTCTAATCTTAGAATACAGGAGAAAGAAGGGAAAAATGAGCTGGGTTTGATTATTGCAATGTAAGAGGTTTTTCCCCTGCATCTACTGGTTTTTCATTGTGTGAAACACTTTTCAGTGTTAGCCAAACAGACCGTGGCTCAGAAGTGGGGTGCAGTAGGAAATACAGATGTGACTTCACAAGAGGGTGATTTTACTGCAGTTTTCTAGAGCACAACCTTATGAACTAAAACCAAATTAAAAATATTCCTCTCCCCTCTTCCTTTCAGTTGATGGCCTATGCTCTGTCTTGGTACCAAACTTCACGATGGTGTAGAAGAGTTTTAATTAAGGGGAGTCAGAGGGAAATCAGAGCGAGCATCTTTTAAAAGAACTGAAATGATAGGTTCCCACATCACATAGTCAAAGGGATGCTTCTGATATTACTGGCAAAATCCTGTGCCTAATAAAGACCTTCCTGCTCAGCAGAGCTGTTTTTCTAAATGTCATCCTTACAGTAATTATTTGCATTTAAATTACATGGCAATCAAATCAGAATTGAATCATTTAAACTGGAAGTGAACAAGCTGATCAATGCCAGTATAAATAGAAAGGAGGACAGACGTGGCATGGGAACAGTCTAATGGACAAATATTAACAGTTACAAACACTCAAACATATCTTGCTGTTCAGAACATATAAAATATGATTAATGTCTCAATTGGGAAATACATCTATGTACTTGATTGCTGGCTAGGCAGGAAAAGGTGAAATCAGTTCACCATTTATCCAGATGAAACAGCTAATTTATATGTCCTGCTTCTGTCTGCTGTGTGCTTTTGGTTCAGTATTGTGCTCTGCTTATGGTCCCTGGACAAGCCATACTTTAGTCTTATTTCAGCTACTAGCAATAAAAAACACCCAAAACCCACTTACACAGCTGGGTAATTACAGAATGTCATGAGGAGCACAGAACAGTTTTTCTCAATTAATCTAGTGGTCACTTAACTCATTTTGCTGGCTCTGTACATGATGTCTCAGCACACTGTAAGAACCAGGGAAAACAAAAAATTAATTGAAACATACCATAGTGATTTACAGCATTGAGGATGCTCAGATCATATCTGGGAAATAATCTCTCAGTGCAGAACAAATCAAAGTAAAAATGTTCATGCATTCATACTGTGCCATGCAAATCAATATATAACAGAGCCTGATGTGGAAAAGAACTAAATGCCCCCAGCTTCTGGTGTGACAGTATGAGCAGATTATTAGCTGATGTAAGTTGGCACTGCTCCACTGGCATGCTACTGGCACCATGCTGGCTTACATCAGCAGATGATTTACCCCATCAACCACTAGCTCTCAGGATTGGGCCTGCAGTAAACAACTGTGTGATATAAGCAATGTTTTTGTTACCTTTTTCAGAATTACAGGGTTTTGAAATTAATTTTTTTTAAAAAAAAGAAAAAGGCAGAGTGAACAGTAAATCAATACTTCATTAATTCTAAAGCTTATGTCAGCTGTCTTGGAGGACCAGAAAAGCTCCAAAACTAGTGCACCTGTATAGACCATGCTTGTCTGGTCAGGATATGGTTGAACCTGTATTAATAAAGCTTGTGAAATACAAAAGTTTTCAGCAAAGTTGGAACTTCTATACTGTATCTAAACCATTTCTCAGGTATTTTAAATGCCTTTAAAGTGGGCTTAGAATTATTTTTGAGACATCATGCTGCCTAGTCTTCCAGTTTGCTGGAGTTTCAGCACAACAGTTGGCTGAACTCCCATGTGAATGATTCTAGCAACTGAACACAAAGCCAATTTCTGTTTAGCCAGCTGTCTTTTAGCTTTCCAGAATGCACTATGAAGGTTCTGACCACTGAAATTCAGAGTATTGTTTTAAATTTTCATATGAGGGTTGATTACAGTGGCATATGTCCATACTGAGGTTATCCTGCATTTGGTCCAATAGAAATTCAGAGTTCCAATTACTAAAAGGCTTTCTGCAATTTCCTCTTTCACTCAGCCTTCCCTGGCAGAACCTCAGCTGAATGCTCATTTGCCTATTTTGGCAGTGGCTTTGATTTGCAGCATAAGTTGTTTGGTTTAGTATTTTAATAGTACAGTGCTGTTAATTTCATTCTGATCTAGGTTCTCCAGGACCCTTTTATGGCAGGTGTTGTGAAAATACTAAAACCAGAACTGCATACAGTTAAATACTGAATTTCTCCATTGGAGGAACCTTATTGGAAGGCATTTAGGGTCACTATAATGCTTTCTTGTGCTTTTCACTCCACTGATTTAATTTTGAAAGCTTTGTAAATACACATAGAAACAAATGGACTGTAATGCTAAGATAGGCTCGAATCTTTTAGGGCTCTGATCTGACAGGGAGTAGGAAGATGTGGGACGTGTTCTTGGTATTTTCATTGCCCCACAGTCGACAAAAGAAAAATACTGTTGTGCTAAACTTGTGTGGCACCAAACGATGCC